CGGCAGGAGTGTGTGTGTGCAGAGGTTTGGGTGGTAACCTGGGGCAGGCGGCTGGGGAGTAGCAGGGGATGGGCAGTGCCAGAGTCAGGTTCTGGCCAGAAGGCGCTTACCTAATCAGCTCCTAGGCAGCAGCCCAGTGGGACCCTGAGGCAGGCTTCCTGCCTGCCACAGTCTCAGGCTGCTCAAAACAGCTGGCTGCTCCCTGTGGCTTTCTACTCTGACTCAGGAGGATGGCTTTGCACACTGTCCCCAGCCTCCAGAAGAATCTCTCAGCTCCTGTTGGCTGGAAACTGACCAATGGGAGCTGAGAGATTTTGCTGAGAGGTGGGGGCAGCGCATAAAGCCTCCCCCTAGACCCAGAGGAGAGACCCACAAAGAGCAGCCGGCTACTTAAAGCATCCTGAGCTGCTCTGTGCCGGAGGGTCCTGGTGGGATGGCCCACAGGCCAGATCTGATGGCTTGACACACTGGAACTGGCCCACAGGCCATATCTTGCCCATCCCTGAGCTATGCATTACCGTTCAGTGCTATTTGCCAAGTTTTCCGAAGTAGTAGCCTGAAGTTAGGCTTCAAACACAAATTTAGGCAGCTACATAAGTAATGTGGTTTTCAAAAGTGCTGAACAGCCACAACTTCTACTAAAGTATGCCAAAATCACCAACCTTTTAGTAGAAAATGTATTGCAGAATTCATACCCTCTGGCTCCTTAGGGTATGTCTACATTACACTGTTATTTCAAAATATCTAATTTCAAAATAGTTAATTTGAAATAGCTTATTTCGAAATGACGCGTTTATACACAAAATGCATTTTGAAATAGTGTTTTTCTGTTTCGAAATAGCGCATCCACACTGAGTGGACATTGAATCTCATTTAAGGCTGGTTGGAACCAGTTCCGGCAGGGCATCAGGTCAGAAGTTACCTCGTGGCCAGGGCAGCCAGCAGGGCACCATGGGAAGGGCTGGAGGCCCCCTATTTCGAAATAAGCATCTATACAGCACTTATTTCGAAATAGTAATTTCGAAATTGGCACTATGCCTCATGGAATCAAGTTTACCAATTTCGAAATAAGCCCTCCACTATTTCGAATTAATTTCGAAATAACAGAATGGCTGTGTAGACGCTAGGAAAGTTATTTCGAAATAACTTTGCTATGTAGACATACCCTTAGGCTACGTCTAGACTGGCCCCTATTCCAAAATAGCCATGCTAATTTTGAACTTGGGAATAGGGAAATCCGCGGGGGATTTAAATATCCCCCGCGGGATTTAAATAAACATGTCCGCCGCTTTTTTTCCGGCTTGGGGAAAAGCCGGAAAAAAGCGTCTAGACTGGCGCGATCCTCCGGAATAAAGCCCTTTTCCGGAGGATCTCTTATTCCTACTTTCAGGTAGGAATAAGAGAACTCTTGAATCCTACTCTCATGTTACTTTCAGGTAGGAATAAGAGATCCTCCGGAAAAGGGCTTTATTCCGGAGGATCGCTCCAGTCTAGACGCTTTTTTCCGGCTTTTCCCCAAGCCGGAAAAAAAGCGGCGGACATGTTTATTTAAATCCCACGGGGGATATTTAAATCCCCTGCGGATTTCCCTATTCCCAAGTTCAAAATTAGCATGGCTATTTCGGAATAGGGGCCAGTCTAGACGTAGCCTTAGAGAATAACTTTCCAGACTTCTAATATTTGGCTGGATATGGGAACAGACATTTCAGAGCTTGGTTATTTACTTGGCTTGAGCAAAAGAGACTTGATTCTTTTTTATTGTGATGTCTTACTGCATGCAGCCTTTAAATCATGTTTTTCTTCTTAGGGGGTAAAGGATTACAGTGTGCCTATAGGTCTGGATGCAAAAGTCCAAGTGGACCTGGTTGTTGTAGGATCGGTGGCTGTTTCTGAAAAAGGTAGGGGGCAAAGGCTGTTAGGCATATTAGAGTTTAGGAGGGTTTGCGTGGATAGGAAGATACCAATTTCTCTGTCTTCTATTTAAAAATAATCCATGTTCATGTAAGGAGATAGAAGTAGTCTTATTCCAGCTTCTAAAGGCTTGTGTCTATATTACAAAGATGCTACAGGTGGAACCTTTCTGGTCTGGGACTCTGGTCTGGCAACATCCATGATCCGGCAGAACCACGGATCTTGTTGGACCAGAGAACCCTGGACCAGAGAGCCTGAGTGGCTCTTGACTGGGAGTCAGGCAAGGGGCCACAAGAAGAGCCAAACCAGCAGCTGCTGCAGGCCAGGAATGCATCCTAGCCAGCCCTACAGCCCCTGGGCTGGGAGCACAGGCCTGGCTAGCAGCCGCTGGGGGCCAAAAGCAGGATGACAGCCAGGAAGACAGTGCTTCTGGTAGAACCCAGACCTCCCCTTGTCCGGCAAACTCCCTTGTCCAGGACCTGGCAGGTCCCGAGAGTGCTGGGCCAGGGAGGTCCAACCTGTACCACTGCTGACTCCCTCTGCTGGGAGTCTCATGTTACAATACAGTGGCTGGTGTGTATGCACGGTGCAGATGCACTGTCAGCAGGGTTTTTCCGGGATGTGCTGTTTTCAGTTGAACAGTCATGAGCGTGAATCTGCCCCATCTGTACAGATGGTGCCTCCAGGATTAAGCAGGGGCCTGTTAGGCGGAGGGGCAGCATAAAGGACTTCCATAGCACCTACCCAGCCTCCGCTTATTTTGAGGGAATGAATTTGAGGTGGCAGCTGCTTTACAGTCATCGGCAAAGAGACAGTCCTCTCTTTCAGAACTCTGAACTTTCTTCTTTGTGCTTGGGTTAATTCCTGAACCCAGCCGGGGGCAGACAGGTTCTTAGCATATCTCTCGGTGCTTGGTTCACATCCGAGGCCTCTGTTGCCTTTTTACCAGCATTCTGTGTCACTCATACCATCTCTTGCGCTCTGCTGCCCTCAAGTGTTAACTCGCTTGCTGCTTCTTTGTTCATTTTAGGTTGGAGAATTGGGAAAGGGGAAGGCTTTGCCGATATGGAATATGCAATGATGGTGTCAATGGGAGCAGTCCAAGAGGCCACACCGGTGGTTACTGTTGTGCATGACTGTCAGGTGAGCCAAAGGACCCACTCCAAAGGCACGTCTGCCACCCTTCCATACCTTGCAGGAGAAGAGTGGTTTAAGCAGCCGGGATTAGAACTGGCTGGAATTTTTGGACGAATTATGTGCCCCAAAATGCAGTTCCAGGATGAGCAATGTTAAGTGCAAAGTCAGGTCAAATGTGGCTGAATTTAAAAAATAAACCAGTGGGAGGAGGGTTCATTTCAATCTCTAATATAGGGGTATGTCTAGACTACAGAATTTAAAAAAAAAATGCCCTTTTTTCGAAAAAACTTCACCTGCGTCCACCCTACAGTCGCATTCTTTCAAAAGTAAATTGAAAGAACGCGGCGCTTCTTTCAAAATTGGTAAACTTCTTTTTACAAGGAAGAACGCCTTTTTTGAAAGAGCTCTTTTGAAAACCGGCATGTGTGCACAGGGAGGAGGCAGCTTTTTTTCAGGAAAAAAAAAAAGGCCTGCTAGAAGTGGTTCTGGGTGCCCTTTTTGTGAGAAAGCATCCTAGCCATCTGAACGCTCTCTTTCGAAAAAGCAGATAGCTTTTTCAATCCTCTTTTGTAGTCTGGAAATATCTCTTTCAAAAAAGCTTCTTTCGAAAGAAGCTTATAACCTAGATGTACCCTAGGAGACATGTCAACTTTTCATTTCAAACCAACATTTCAATTCAGAAATCTAGCTAGACGCCGTTAGAAAATAAAAAGCACCAAAAAAATAGTTTGAATGAAACAATATTTTTTTCCATTTCTTCTGTTATTGAGGAAAATCCAAAAAAAAAATTCATCTTTGGTCAACTCCAAATGTATTTTTCAGTTTGGGCACTGAACTGAAAAAATGAAGCAATCGCCCAGTTCTAGTTGTAACTGTTAAGTAGAGTGTAGCAGTACTGACTGTGTCTAGATTTGGGGTTGTTTCAGAGTAAGAACATAAGAACGGCCATACTGAGTGAGACCAAAGGTCCATCTAGCCCAGTATCCTGTCTACTGACAGTGGCCAATATCAGGTGCCCAGAGGGAATGAACAGAACAGGGAATTATCAAGTGATCACTCCCCTGTCACCCATTCCCAGCTTCTGACAAACAGAGGCTAGAAACACCATTCCTGCCCATCCTGGCTAATAGACATTGATGGATCTATCCTCCATTAATTTATCTAACTGTTTTTTGAATGTTAATATAGTCTCAGCCTTCACAACATCCTCTGGCAAGGAGTTCCACAGGTTGATTGTGCATTTTCTGAAGAAATACTTCCTTTGCCTTGTTTTAAACCTGCTACCTATTCTTTTCGTTTGGTGACCCCTAGTTCTTATGTCATAGGAATTTTGTCATCTTAAAGGAGAGATTTTTGGTATCTGGGAAGCTGTGTGGAGTGATACTTTCCATGCAAAGTCACAGTTCTGGTGCGCTTGCGCAATTTATTTACCAAAGTTCTCTTCCCTCTGGTTATAGGTGGTTGACATAGCAGAAGACCTGCTTGATGACCATGATTTAACTGTGGATTACATCCTTACCCCAACGAGGACTATTAAAACAGGCTGTAAACGACCAAAACCACAAGGAATAATGTGGCATAAGGTAGGTTACCTCTGCTAAATATGACTGAGGGTATGTCTACACTACCCCCCCTAGTTCGAACTAGGGGGGGTAATGTAGTCATACGGAGTTGCAAATGAAGCCCGGGATTTGAATTTCCCAGGCTTCATTTGCATAAAGCCGGCCGGCGCCATTTTTAAATGCCGGCTAGGTCGGACCCCGTGCCGCGCGGCTACACGCGGCACGGACTAGCTAGTTCGGATTAGGCTTCCTATCTGAACTAGCTGTACGCCACGTGGAAGCCTAATCCGAACTAGCTAGTTCGTGCCGCGTGTAGCCGCGCGGCACGGGGTCCGACCTAGCCGGCATTTAAAAATGGTGCCGGCCGGCTTTATGCAAATGAAGCCCGGGAAATTCAAATCCCGGGCTTCATTTGCAACTCTGTATGAGTACATTACCCCCCCTAGTTCGAACTATGGGGGTAGTGTAGACATACCCTTATTGATGTAAAATCCTTACTTCTGAAGCTAATGATGTACCTTTTCCTTCTATAAATCATTACTCCTTCTGGAACGTGTATCTTCTGAGCTATGAGAGCTCCATCTCTAACTAGCAAACACTATGGCTACGTCTACACTGCAGGCTTTTTGCGCAAGAACAGCCGCCTACACTTGCGGAGCATCTACACTGCACACACGTTCTTGCACAAGTAAATTGACAGTACAGCGTCAGAACAGAGGGTTTCTTGTGCAAGCGTTATTCCTCTCCCCACGAGGAATAAGCCCTCTTTCACAAGAAGGCAGTGTGGATGGGCAACAGGGATTTCTTGCGCAATAAACCCTTTTGGCTAAAATGGGCATGAGAGCTTTCTTGCGCAAGAGAGCGTCCACACTGCCATGGACGCTCTTTTGCAAAAGCACATGGCAGTGTGGACACGCTCTTGCGCAAGAACTTTTGCGCAAGAACTCTTGTGCAAAACAGTTCTTGCGCAAGAAGCCTGCAGTGAACATCCCTTGCAGCTTCCTAGTGATGGTGATGTTGAAATTAAAAAAAAAAAAGGGGGGGGGGGAAACCAAGTGGGATCATGTTGCCATCTGTTGCATAAGAAACACTAGGAATGTGAGGGAAGTGTTTGGAAAATGCTAACAGGCAAACCCATGTTGCTTTCAAGTTGTCTGTGTGGTTGTTGTAAATGATAGTGGCAAAAACAAGACATGCGTTTGAAGGTGACGTGGCCTATCCTATGGATGTCAAGTTCGGCCACACAAGGACAACTTCTCAGCTGGTTTAAAATTGTCATAGCTCTGATGAAGTCAGTAAAGCTGCGACAACTGACAGCAGTTGAGAACCTGCCCCACAGAGTGTATCTTGCCTCTGCTTGTTGAAGCGGATTCTGTTCCTTTTCATGAGACAGTAGAACAGGGAGAGCTTAATGCTGCAAATCCAGAGTGGAATGTCTGCCAGTCCATCCTGGCAGGAAAAGTGAGGTTACATTTTTGATTAGTGGTAGGGATGTTGGGTTTTGCATTGCTGCTAGTGGTTAGGTGTGGGATTTATTTTAAAATATATATTATTTTTTGGTTGAGCTTATTGAATAGTACAGAAAGGGATTTCTAATTACTTTCATGCATCAGCATGATGAATTCACGCTATGATGGTGTATTGATTATTTGAATGATCACCATTTTTTTCCAGTTATGTTCACAGATCCAAACAGTTGCACCAGTGTTCACACTAATGATTTCTGTCTAAAAGTTCCTGTCGTAAAGGGCTTGATTGATGATCTGATTTTTTTGTTTTGTTATATTTTCCTCTGTAAAGTTTTAAGTCGTCTTACCCAGAGAAGAGCTCTGTGTAGTTTTGAAAGCTTGTTTCTCTCACCATCAGACTTTGGCCCAATAAAAGATATTGTCTCCCCAACTTGACTCTCTTAAATCAGACCCTTCTGAAGCTTTTAAATCATCTAGTCAGGCAGCAGAAACAGCACCCTATGACAATTGAGTGACAATTTGCACGTGACATGTAGTAATGGAGAGCAAATTGTTGTTTGTAAAACTATCGAGGAAATACTTGTAAGAGAGAAATACTTTTGTAGAAGCCAGGGTCAGCTGATAAACAATTTACAAATTTAGCCTTTTTTTTGTTTGCAAAATATATTAAGAACGGCCATACTGGGTCAGACCAAAAGTCCATCTAACCCAGTATCCTGTCTTCCAACAGTGGCCAGTTCCAGGTACCCCAGAGGAAATTAATAGAACAGAGGTAATAATCAGGTGATCTCTCTCCTATCACCCGTTCCCAGCTTCTGACAATCAGAGGCTAGGGACACCATTTCTGCCCATCCTGGCTAATAGTCATTGATGGACCTACCCTCCATTAATTTATCTAACTGTTTTTTGAATGTTAATATATTCCTAGCCTTCACTACATCCTCTGGCAAGGAGTTCCACAGGTTGTCTGTACATTTTCTGAAGAAATACTTCCTTTTGTTTGTTTTAAACATGCTACCTATTTATTTCATTTGATGACCCCTAGTTTTTATTTTATGGGAGCAAGTAAATAACTCTTCCTTATTTACTTGTTCCATGCCAGTGATGATTTTATAAATTGAAACAACTTGGATAAATGACTCCACCAACTCTATTTATTAAATACATTAATACAATTTGGAATTAAAATGGAAAGTTACCATTTTAATTTTAATAAAAATTAAAATTAAAACAACGTGGATGAATAACTCCACCATTTCTATTTATTTTGTATAGAATGGGGGAGTATTCTAAGTACTCTGAGTTAACAAGAGCTCCGTTTGTGTTAGTGGATTGCATCACTGAAATATTTCACATGGAGATTTTCTTGTACTCCAGCTCACTTAATGGAATTGTTTGAAGTCCCGGCTCTTGCGCCCCATCCATCTTGCCAGCATTGCTTTGATCACGTTCTCCCTCCGTGTCAGAATTCAACCACAATAAATTACCTTGCTAACAATTCTCTCCGCATCCCTTCACAAGCTAAATCTGCAAAGGTCTGGAGAAGACAAAACCCCTTGAAAAGTCCTTTAATCTTTGTGTTGCTTTTGACACTCTCCTAGGCGACGTTAGTCTGTAGCTAACCTGTGTATCAGAATGGATGTGGTCTTTGCATTGCTTCTCTTTTTTTTTTCCACTTATCAGGGAAAGATTAAAGACCAGTCATATAACAGAGCTTGGGACAAAGGGTTACCGGCACTTAAGCCACTTCCATCTGTTCACATTTGTAACTCGATCAGACATATTGTACCAAACTGTACTTCTCCTTAGCTGTCCCAGAAACCATTTTATTTTCACTGGTGGTGTTCACACTTGGGCGAGATTACCTGTGTTCCCGTCATTGCTCGATTGTTCATCTGTATTCATTACTGTTTGTGTCTCGTGTGTTCAGCACGGGCTGTAAAGTTTTCACCACCTATTGACAAGTACCCCAATTAGGAATGTTTTCAGTAGAACAGCAATTAGTGGCTGACGTCAACCAAGGAAGTCGGTGGAAAGACTCTCATTGACATCCTAATTCTACCAAGGTTGTTTTTTTTTCCTGTTTATTCGTAACCAAAGAGCCAGAAGAGAGGGTGACGTTGTACTGACTCACTCGCTATCTCTCTAGCACGCATTCACTCACACAGCTGTTATTTATGCAGTGCTATAGAGGTTTGTTGTCTTAGATGCAAAAAAAAGAAAATAGGTGAGCCAAAATTTTCAAAGCTGGTGTTTGCATTTCGGCTCTCTTTAGTCCATATTTGGGCACCTAACTAAATTACCTGATTTTCAAAGGTGCAGAGCATTCATGGACTTTGGAGAGATTTCTGGGCACTCATTTTCTCTGGAAAACCAGCACATTTTGAATGCTCACTTTCTCACAACACTGAACACCCTTCTCTCACTGACTGTCCCCTCCCTACCACCAAGGAGCTGTCACATCCAGCAGGATTTAGCCATTATTTAGGACCCTACATTTTCATAAGGATCCAGACTTGATCATTTTGACCATAGTCCCTGAACTGAACTGCTGAGAACTGAGGTTGTATAGGTAGAGCCCTGCGCAGATACAAAATTGGAACCACATCTGCAAAAATGATCCTCAGATATCTGAATCCGCAGAGGCAGCTCCCTGTGGATCTAAAATGGATAGCAGCAAATTTGCGAGGGTCTAGAATCAAAATGTGCATCTGTAAAAATGAGCCATGGATGTCCTCATCAGTGGATTTGCAAGGCTCTACAGATGGGCTAGAAATGACATGGGGAAAAGATTGCATGGGACAAGGAGGTAGCGGGACATGAAGAGATTTGGGAATGAAGGGGTAGATAAGGAAGACATACTGTACCAAAATGCTACTGCTTGTGTAATTTTGCCACCTATGATTCAGTGGCTGGAAGTATTTGCAGCATGGAGACATGAATGATGGAGGACCAAGTATGGCAACAACCATCCATGTTTCTGGGACAGCTTAATAACTAAAAGGACAACAGTTTTCAGGGTTGCTAATTCATTGGGAACAAGCTAACATGCGTTCTTGTTTTTGTGATCTTGTCATTGAGGCAGTTTTTTATGTGAGACACTGCTGTACAAAGCCTCTCAGAACTGGGAGGGCTAATTAATCTGTAGGGCTTAACGACAGGATTTTGTTTTTGCTGTTTAAATGTTTGTTCATAGGATCATGACTCCCAGCCATGCATCCTTTTCTCCTTCTTCAAACCCAGGCTTTGCTTTTGCATTCCTGTATCTTTCAGCAGAAGTAAATTATCCTAGAGGTAGAGGCTAAAACAACTCAATTTCTAACCAGGATGTTTTGTCAATGGAATGTTGTTTAAGTGTATTGTTTGGTGAGGGGTATCTATGAGATGTGTAAATCGCTCATAACAAAAGTTCACCCTTCAGGAACATGGTTTGCCCAAGCAAAGACAACAATGGCTCACGGGTTTGTTTAAAGTTGGGTGTTCCTGCTTGCAAACACTGGGTCACTGCTAAGCATTGCCTTGGAAGATGTGCTTAATTTGGTGTGAAGTTTT